AGTGTTACCCAGCTCCTGAGTGGACTGATTGTGGGAGCTCTCTATAGACTGAACTTTTTTACCAGTCATTTGTTAGTTAGCAGTTCCACTCAGTCAAATAAGGAGGGCTTTGCCAAGTTAGGAGATAAACAGCACGTTTTCTTCCTCTACACTAAAACTTACAGAGGTGACGAACATGGTAAATCTGAATCTAGAGAGATTATTTCATGGCACAAACACACATTCTACTTCATAGCACAGAAAGATTCAGCCAATTTGACAGTGGGGAGCATGGATGAAAAGACTGGGGTATTTATAGATCACTTGACACTGGAACTTGTGGAAAAGAAACAGAACAGAACAAATGGGACTGATGTCCAGGCCCATGTGGTGTACCTTCATGAGTGGGGCTCCATTCATGGCTTTTGGAACTTTGTGGAGGATGTCAGTCCTATCACTGAATACATGTGGGCCATAGGTATGAGCTAAATAGAATTAGTATATGAATGCTTTAATATTGGCTAATTTTTTTAATGCAACAAAAAACAGCAAAGTATTGACCCTATAAAAAATCTTTTTCTTTACAAAATGAGAGTCCTGAATTTTGAAGGGTAAATTGAAATAAATTTTAGCTATTTTTCAAATTTGACATATGAAAGGTATCCTTGTACTTGTATTTCTTTCAAAAAATTTCATATCAGACTGATCAGGGGCGGATCCAGCAATTTTTGAAAGGAGGGGTTCCAGAGTTGTGCCCCTCTACCCCCCCCCCCCCCCATACATACTCTCAAGCAAAGATTCACAGATTTGTATTGAAAAATCTAAGGTTATAGTAAATACTATCTTTACTTTACCTCCTTTATTAAAAAAAAAAGTTTACCCCCAGTCCGAACAAAACAACACACACACACACAAAAAAAAAAACCTACACATTTCATAACTACGGAAGCCTTAAAATTGGATGGATTTGTATCATTTCCGAAGAGTATTAAGAATTTTCTTTAAGAATTTGAATAACTTTTTTGGGGTGGGATGCGGATGGGCTTTAAAATAAAGAGTTACATGATATGTTAGTTCCTTCAAAAGATCTAGATCTAGATATGATAAAAACGGTACAAACATAGTCAACACAGCCAAAGATGACGAGAATCCAATATCAAATGAAACATCGCATATTACATACCAGGGTATAATATACAAGATATATAAAAACAAGTAGAATATTTTCTACCATTCTCTTTTAAAAAGTATAATAGAGAAGGTGACTGAAAGAAAGTAAATTTGTGAGAATCTATCTATTCAATATATAAGTAAGACGTACAAATATATAGTCTCAGAAAACGTATTACCCCCTCTCTCTCTCCACTAGGCAAAAAATAAAGGGGGGGTTCCAACCCCCGGAACCCCCCCCCCCCCCCTGGATCCGTCAATGCTGATTATGCATATTTCAAATTTGTATAGAGAAAAGCTCATATTTTCTTATGTTCAGTTTTCAAGGCTTAATCAAATATTTACTATACAGGTTATACACAAGGAGGGACACAGTTACAAGGCTTCAATAGTGTGGGCCTCAGTAACTTTGCCTATAATTCTACAGTGACCTTGGTCCATAATTCCTACATCTACGTGACAGCTCTAGCCATCAATTCAGTGGGTTTACAGGGAATAGCATACTCAGAAAAAATTCTTGTGGATCTGACTCCACCTGATATTGTGGGGGTCTACGATGGAAGGCTTAGAAGTAAGTCTGTCAAATACCTTGTGGAATAATCATCTCAATAATCCATACACAAAGGATCAAAGACATTTTATGTAATTTATTTACCTAAAAGGGTATTTTTTAACACTATTTCCAAAATAACAAGTAAAATGTTCATAATATATGATTTTGTATACAAATGACTGTAATTCAACAGGTATGCATAAAAAATTAAGATTTCACTATTTCTAGTGTTCAAGAATCCGAAAATAAGTTGTTAAGCAGTGCAATTTGAAGTTTATATATCTAGAAGCAAGATTTATATCTGGGATTTAATACCTTTCAGATGAGGACCAGAGTGCCTGGACTGATGCTGAGGTGGCAGTTAACTGGGACGTTAATGACCCAGAATCAGGAATAGCTTACTGTGAATGGGCCATCGGTTTGTAACATTACTTAAATTGTGCTTTGACATAGATTTGGTATAAGAGAATACCAAAATTATTCTCTCTTAATGTGACACAGTAACAATACACAACACATAGAGTGTCCACAATGATCTTGAAACAAGTTTTTGGTCAGTTCCAAAGGTCAAGACCAAAATATCTAACTTTAGTGTAACTATACTTTTCCTGCAGGTACCCAACCCCAGGGAGTGGAGTTGCAGGTCTTTGTAAAAGTTTCTAGTGGTGCCACATCAGCCTTCAGAGACTTTGATTATAGTGTGCTACAGGGAAAAACTATCTACACAAGTCTACGTTGTGAAAACAATGCTGGTCTCCTCAGCTCTAAATCGTCTAATGGAGTAAAGATATCGAACCAGCCCCCCTCTGTGACTAGCGCTGTAGTGGAGCCTGTCCCCCAATCTGTCACAGAATACCAGGCCAGGGCCAGCTATCAGAGTGTCACAGATAACATCAGACTCAGGTGGACCGGATTCAGGGACCATATCGGGGTTGAACAGTACAAAGTACAACAAAAATTGTTTTCTTGTTATGTTATTTTTATATTAAAGTCTTCAGCCTTTCTTTTTTCGCTGGAATAAGACCATGTTAATAAAAAAAAATTGTTTGCTTGCCCTCTTCCAGCTCATGATAAAATAAATTGGGTTGGTTGGTTGTGAAAAAATTGTCTCCAGTGGGTTTAAAAAAAAATTGGAATTAATATTGGGCTATTTTGAAAGTCGGGTGGGAGAGGGCAATAAATTTCTTTTTTTTAATTCGCTCATCCAATATTTCTCATTAATTGGATCTTTTATATTTTGATGTGTAGGTATCTATCCAAGAAAACAATTTCAATTTGGTGGAGAAGATGCCATTCCCAGAAGGACAGAATATTATGTTTACCAGTGTGAACAATCTGGCCTTGACCTCGGGTCAGATCAATGTCACGACCCAGGCTTTCAGTGAGCTGCTCCTCATCAGTGACAAGGTCAAGTCAGACATCACAGTATTTACTGACAAACCACTCAAACATCGTAAGTCACTTAAGTTTTCATGTTTAAACTGCACATGTGTACTTGACTGGCAAAAATGGTATTTTAAAACCATACCCAGATTTTACAACTATTTCATATCTTAAGAACATGCATCATGTAGAGAATGCGTAGGACTGATATTTGTCAATTTGTTTTTAGCTCACCTGAGCCGAAGGCTCAAGTGAGCTTTTCTGATCAAAATTTGTCCGTTGTCTGTCGTCGTCGTCGTCGTTGTCGGCGTCGTCGGCGTAAACTTTTCACATTTTCATCTTCTTCTCAAGAACCACTGGGCCAATTTCAACCAAACTTGGCACAAAGTATCCTTGGGTGAAGGGGAATCAAGTTTGTTCAAATGAAGGGCCACGCCCCCTTCCAAGGGGAGATAATTAATATGAATTTGTGAAAAATTTATGGCATTTTTTAAAAATCTTCTTCTCCAGAACCGCTGGGCCAGGAAAGATGAAACTCATGTGGAATCATCCTCAGGTAGTGTAGATTCAAGTTTGTTCAAATCATGACCCCCGGGGCTAGGGTGGGGCAAAAATGGCCGACCCAAGTTTTACATAGGAATATATAAGAAAAATCTTTAAAAATCTTCTTCTCAAGAACCACTAGGAAAGGAAAGATGAAACTCATGTGGAATCATCCTCAGGTAGTGTAGATTCAAGTTTGTTCAAATCATGACCCCTGAGGCAAGGGTGGGGCCAAAATGGCCGACCCAAGTTTAACATAGGAATATATAGGAAAAATCTTTAAAAATCTTCTTCTCCAGTACCACTGGGCCAGGAAAGATGAAACTCATGTGGAATCATCCTCAGGTAGTGTGGATTCAAGTTTGTTCAAATCATGACCCCCGGGGCTAGGGTGGGGCAAAAATGGCCGACCCAAGTTTTACATAGGAATATATAGGAAAAATCTTTAAAAATCTTTTTCTCCAGAACCACTGGGCCAGGAAAGATGAAACTCATGTGGAATTATCCTCAGGTAGTGTGGATTCAAGTTTGTTCAAATCATGACCCCCGGGGCTAGGGTGGGGCCAAAATGGCCAACCCAAGTTTTACATAGGAATATATAAGAAAAATCTTTAAAAATCTTCTTCTCAAGAACCACTGGGCCAGGAGAGATGAAACTCATGTGGAATCATCCTCAGGTAGTGTAGATTCAAGTTTGTTCAAATCATGACCCCCGGGGCTAGGGTGGGGCCAAAATGGCCGACCCAAGTTTTACATAGGGAAACCTTTTAAAATCTTCTTTTCAAGTACTTCAAAGCTATGATTTGTGATATTTATATGGGATCATCCTCAGGTAGTGTAGATTCTAGTTTGTTCAAATGATGAATGCCTGGAGGGGGGTGGTGGAGTAAATTCAAGCCTGATGTGCTCAGGTGAGCGCTGTGGCCCCTGGGCCTCTTGTTTGTTATAATGTTAATGTGACAAGAAAAATATGTCTATACATTATATTTCTTAATATTTAGCTACAAACCAGATGACAATCACTTGGAGTGCAGGTAATAAGCAGTTTACCGTCTCCTGGGATGGAGTCTTCAGCTCTCCACACCCCCTGTTTTACGAGGTATCAGCTGGCAAGGTGATTGGTGGAGGGGAGATCGTCCAATGGCAGGAGACGACACAGACTAGTATCACATTTGGCCTGCCCCCCGCCATCACCAGCTGGTCTCGACTGAAGGTGTACGTTATGGTGAGGGCCGTAGCCGCGGGAGGAAAGTATGGGGACTCAGTGGGGGGTATAACGTTACCTCCATAATGTCTTCATTGACAGTATCAGAACATGGATTGTTTATCAATTACAACAATCATTCTTATACAACTAACACATCTGAAAGTTATCAAGTCATTTTTTCAACTATTATATCTGCACACTGTCATAAAAACAAATATTTGCACTGGAAAAAATACTTTATAGCATCCATCTGTTAGAATAAAATCTTCTTCAGAATAATAAGGCCACGTTTATAGTCATATTGAAGTTTTCTTTATGCCACGTGGATTCAAGTTTAATGTAAATCCTAACCTCGAGAGTCTATGAGTGGAAAAATATAAATATCTTTCATGGAAGAATAGCAGGATCAGTATACTCAGGTGAACATTGTGGTGTACGGGCTCCTTGTTATGAAAAACCAATTATTTTTAGGGAGAAATTAAATAAAGGCTTCTGGTTCTCTCATTGCAATTTGTACATGTAATTGTTATCTTTGTTTTTACATTGAAAATTATTTATATATACTGTATTATATACATTATAGTACTGTTGTAAAAAAAAAATTTATTTTAGAATTCAATACTCAAGACTTTAAGTCCAGTTTGGTTTGGCAAATGACTGTAAATGCAGCTAACTACATAAAAATGAAAAAAAATCATGTTCACTTTTCATAAACTTTAGGATTAACATAAAGTATTAAGGATGCAACATTTTCCATGACTAATTTCATATTTTTCTATCAGATACTGCTATACAATAATACAGTGTGTTTCCTTTCATTAAAATAGTGTGACCCAGCATTGTTACTCTATCTGTGATATATTTTTGTTGAAAGAATAAAAAAATAATCTTAATAATGTCGTTGTCTCTTTTTATTTGGGTCAAACTGCATGATCAAGAAGTCAAATATGTTGGTACCCAAAGAAAGGTCTATCTTGTCACATGGAATACAATACAGGAATTAACGCAGCTATTTGCAGGAAAAAAAAAGATGTGTTTGTGTAACACTATGTGCCCACAGCAAAGTTCAAAAAAGGTATTTTTAGCATATAGGTCAAGGTCATTTTAACGACATTTACCTTAAAGTAATATACGCTATAACGTGCGCCATTTTAAAATACGGCTGGAAATTTATATATTTTGTTTACCAATAAAAGTTACGAAAATGCTGTAAATTACACCATTTAAATAAAATTCATTATAAAGTTATCAAATTATAATTATTTATTATCCTGCAAGGAGAATAATGTCTATTTTTAAGTAAATCAACCACGTGACGCCGTCGCTACTTTTAGATTGATAAACAAACACGGCGTCAAGAAAACGAGGTAAGCCCTTTGAGATACAACTCACTTTTGACATGGATGGCGTGTTACTATTAATATAACTTATCTTTAAATGTAATCAGTATCAACCATCTATACTCTGTACATGTTATGACGCATATTAACCTTTTATTAATAATCGTTGTCAAAATGCAACGTGCCTCGTTGTCTATAATTTCCCGTGGACATACAGTGTACGTGTCTATATTTAGACCTACTGTTTACGCACTTCCTTTATCAATATTCATGAAAAGACTGAATTCTTGATTGCAGATATTGCTTTATTGTTCTGTTATTACAACGAGTTTTATAGTTAAATTTTGTGGAAATATTATTTTTTCATTACACTTTGTGTTTCAAATCATTTAATCATTTTATTTCACATACAAATCGGCATCCATACGGCGTATATTACTTTAATTAGTGGAGTATGCATACTAAATTTGAAGTCTCTATCTCCCATGGTTCACAAGTTATAGAAGTTTTTTTTTTGCATATAGATCAAGGTCACAGTCACTGACCTTGGTGCCATTTGAAAGAACTTGATTTGTGGACTCGGGAGTTTGCATACCAAATATGCAGTCTCTATGGTTCAAAAGTTATTGCAAAGGTACGAAAAAAGCTATTTTTAGCATATAGGTCAAGGTCATTGACGTTGGTGTCATTTGAGAGAGCATAATTATTGGAGTATGCATATTAAATATGAAGTCTATCTTTCATGGTTCAAAAGTTAAGGCGAAGGTTAAAGTTGACAACAGACAGACAGACAGGACAAAAACAATATGCACTCCCGATTTATCGATTCAGGCGCGTTAAAATTACATAAATTATACATTTTTTTATTGCTGTAACAGTTTACTGTAATCCTGTACTATCTCACAACCGAAAAAGCATAAGTTTTTTTGTTTTGTTTAAATTCAGTTTAGGAATTCAGGTGGTACAAATAAACGGATCTAAGACTGCTCCCGTTAACAATTCGTACGACCCCTGAATTTGGACAGGTTCTACTTTAGTTAATTTAACTTGAGAAGATGATATACCTGTTTCTCAAACTAATGATATTAATAACTTTTTTTCTTAATAACATGATGGGATGAAAATGCACTAAAATTGGGCTATTAGTTGGATTTCAAAGGCTCCTTGCTAATTGGATTGTATACCGGTATTTCAAACATCTACCCCTACATTTTTCTAGTGAATGGATCCTTTGCCTCGTCACAAAGAGTACATCCAAATCTATAGATAAGGGTTGAAGTTATGAAAATCAAATTTTCACCATTTATAGTACATAAAATTTGAATAAATTAAAAAAAAACCCACTGGTTCCACCCTTGGTAGATACCGTTTGATGGTCACGCTCATGCAGGTTTTTGCTCTCACACGTATGTAGTTTTTTCTTGACGTTCCATTCGAGAATTTTTCACTCATAGAGACTTCACAATCTACCAATAAAGGGCTTCAAATTTTGACCTTGACTCAGCACTCGGGGCCATTGTGCAGTGATGGATCCTTATCGTGGCAACACCTGTCATGACACGAGGCCGCAGTTTATAAGATCTCATCCGAAGGACCCGTAACTTTCTCTTCAAAGTGCCGAGCGCAAGGCGAAGAAACAGTTGCTACCTTTTTATCGACTAAAGTCAGTCGCGGCGAAGATTCCAACTCACGGCCTTCTGTTCTAGCGCTCTACCGGCTAAGCTACCGTGACGGTCTTTTAAAGGTACTTGGACACAGATTTGAAGTTATTATTTTCTCTATAATATTACGACTTATATATTTTAATAGCATTTCACACAAAAATTAATTTAAAATCTTATTTCGTTTAAAAGATATTGAAATTTCAAATTTTTCGGCGGGTTTGATTGACATATCTTTGCACTCTCACAAATTTAATTTTATTCTTAATCCTTAGGAAAAGTGGCAATCTCGTTTTGTATAAATGAAAAATATTAATACTATAATCCAGAAAATTCAGAGTAGACATGTTCGAAAGCAAAACAAACACACAATATATTATCAGTCCGTGCAGTTGTGGTAAGCAGACTGTGACGATCGAACGCACCCTGTGAATTCTAAATATAAACAATAACAGAACTCGAGCCCTGTTTACAAAAACTGTGTACATAACACGAGTGTGCTCGATTTGCTAAACTCTGTACGCATCTCTTAGTTCGGAATGACGATACTTGTGAAGGTGTTTTGCTTTCTAACATTTCTACTCTGAATAAAATTATTTTTCTTGATAAAAGTTTTAATATTTCTCATTAAAACACATCAAAATTGCCACTTTTCCTAAGGATTAAGGCCACTTTTCCTAAGGATTAAGAATAAAGTTAAACTTTGTGAAAGTGCAAGGATGTGTCAATCAAACCCGCCAAAAAATTCAAAGTTTTAATAACTTTTAAATGAAATAAGATTTTTAATTAATTTTTGTGTGAAATGCTATTAATATATATAATTCGTGATATTATACAGAAAAAATGAGAAAATATTAACATCAAATCTGTGTCCAAGTACCTTTAAAGTAAAGTTCCTTGCCGGTTTTGTCGATTTTTAAAAAAGAAATTCGATTGCACAAGGAGTATTAATTGGATGGAGGATTTTAATGAAATTCTATACAATAATATACATCGTAACATTTGTTGATGTGTTGACAATTTCTCCTTCTTTACATCCAACAGTCCGCGGCATAGAAAACTAGGAGCAAGCTGCAATAATAAAAAAAAATATGTAAATTGGAAGCAACGAGGGAAAGTTGAAACACCGAAGTTGAAGTATTTGGAATCGAAGACCTATCCACGCTTATGATATGTGAATTGTCAGCCAATTTTTGCTTACTTTGACGAAGTCGAGATGAGATTATGCTATACCACTGAAGTTGGTGTTTCGATTCAAGTTCTAGGAGCAAAAATATTAAGAGAGGTTTGTGTAGGACCAACATCCCTGCCAACAAGAAGCATCAAACGGTACTAAAACCAACAAAACCTGGACCAGATATAGCTTACTTCGAGGGGAAATATGATGCTATGCAGTGAAATCCGAAAAGAAAGTGCAATACCGTCCCCCTTTCTGACACCCAGGAAAACCATAAGGCTCGCTATACTTGGAACATCATGAACAATTCATCAAGCAGTAAGAACAGCACAGTTAGCAACGGAGATGCAGCACTACAACATTCGGTTCCCAGGACTGAGTGAGACGACCTGACTACAGACAGGACAGCTGAGGCTGACCAGCGGGGAAACACTTGTATCCAGGAGAAACACCGAATGGAGCTCCTTATTCAAGGTATAGGCCTGATGCTATTCCTGGAGCACACAGCGCTGCTGTTGGATGGGAAAATGCCATCTAACATCTAAGTTCAACATAAAAAAGAAAAAAAACAAGACCACCCTAAACACCATCCAGAGTTATGACACAACCAATAACGCCGATGAAGAAAAGAAACTACAGAAACTACAGACAGTGGCTGATAAAAGGAGGAAAGAAAGATACGACAATACTTATGGTCGACTTTAAGGCAAAGATTGGATCTGACAACAAGACCTGACCACACAAAACTATGCTTTTATCAGCTTGTAATAGGATGAAACATCTTCCCTCATAAAAAAGATTTACTAGGCCACATGGAGATCCCCTGGTTATATTACGGAGTAGTAGATCAACCATATTTGTATCAACAAGAATTTCGAAGAGCATGGAAAGATGTCAGGTTATGGATGGAGCAGATATTTCATCAGATCATTTTCTGATGAAGGCAGTAGGACTTTGTCTAAAAATAAACATGTGGGACAAGGTACAACATGAATGTTCTCATAACAAAGGAATGAAACAGATGGAGATAGCGAACCGTATTCAAGATCAAAAGTCTATAAAACAATACAAAATAGGAGCAGAGCAAACACGGACCTCCACATGATGACTTTAACTTTACAATCGTCAACTTCCCTTATGTAGCAATATACCTTCATCACCTGCACACGGAGTTAATATCTTTCAGCTGATTCGATACGCAAGGGCATGCTTTACGTATGAACAATTTCTAAAAAGAGATAAATTGTTGACAAACAAGTTAGTGAAACAAGAATATCAGCAGTCTCATTTAAAGTAATCATTTCTTAAGTTC